AAGCATAAAGGCCTACTTGAACAAGTATTTTTCAATGAAGGACCTTGGAGAAGCTGCTTATATATTAGGCATCAAGATCTATAGAGATAGATCGAGACGCCTCATTGGTCTTTCACAAAGTACATACCTTGACAAGATATTGAAGAAGTTCAATATGGATCAGTCCAAGAAGGGGTTCTTGCCTATATTGCAAGGTATGAGATTGAGCACAGCTCAATGCCCGACCACGGCAGAAGATAGAGAAAAGATGAGTGTCTTCCCCTATGCCTCGGCCATAGGGTCTATCATGTATGCCATGCTGTGTACCAGACCTGATGTAAACCTTGCCGTAAGTTTGATAGGAAGGTACCAAAGTAATCCCGGCATGGAACACTGGACAGTGGTCAAGAATATCCTGAAGTACTTGAAAAGGACTAAGGATATGTTTCTCGTGTATGGAGGTGACGAAGAGCTCGTCGTAAAGGGTTACGTCGATGCTAGCTTCGACACAGATCTGGATGACTCTAAGTCACAAACCGGATACGTGTATATTTTGAATGGTGGGGCAATCAGCTGGTGCAGTTGCAAGCAAAGCCTCGTGGCGGGATCTACATGTGAAGCGGAGTACATGGCAGCCTCGTGGCAGCACAAGAAGCAATCTGGGTGAAGGAGTTCATTACCGACCTAGGAGTTATTCCCAATGCGTCGGGCCTGATGACTCTCTTCTGTGACAACACTGGAGCTATTGCCCTTGCCAAGGAGCCCAGGTTTCACAGGAAGACCAGGCATATCAAGCATCGCTTCAACTCCATTTGTGAAAATGTTCAAAATGGAGACATAGATATTTGCAAAGTGCATACGGACCTGAATGTCGTAGATCCGTTGACTAAACCTCTTCCTCGAGCAAAACATGATCAACACCAGAACTCTATGGGTGTTCGATTCATCACAATGTAAATAGATTATTGACTCTAGTGCAAGTGGGAGACTGTTGGAAATATGCCCTAGAGGCAATAATAAAATGATTATTATTATATTTCCTTGTTCATGATAATTGTCTATTGTTCATGCTATAATCGTGTTATCCGGAAATCATAATGCATGTGTGAATACATAGACCATAACATGTCCCTAGTAAGCCTCTAGTCAACTAGCTCATTGATCAATAGATAGTCACGGTTTCCTGACTATGGACATTGGATGTCATTGATAACGGGATCACATCATTAGGAGAATGATGTGATGGACAAGACCCAATCCTAAGCATAGCACAAGATCGTGTAGTTCGTTTGCTAGAGCTTTTCCAGTGTCAAGTATCATTTCCTTAGACCATGAGATCGTGTAAGTCCCGGATGCCGTAGGAGTGCTTTGGGTGTACCAAACGTCACAACGTAACTGGGTGACTATAAAGGTATACTACAGGTATCCCCGAAAGTATCTGTTGGGTTGACACGGATCGAGACTAAAATTTGTCACTCCATATGACAAAGAGGTATCTTTGGGCCCACTAGGTAATGCATATCATAATGAGCTCAATGTTACCAAGTTTTTGGTCACAGGATCATGCATTACGGTACGAGTAAAGTGACTTGCCGGTAACGATATTGAACGAGGTATTGGGATACCGACAATCGAATCTCGGGCATGTAACGTACCGATAGACAAAGGGAATTGTATACGGGATTGATTGAATCCTCGACATCATGGTTCATCCGATGAGATCATCATGGAACATGTGGGAGCCAACATGGGTATCCAGATCCCACTGTTGGTTATTGACCGGAGAGTCGTCTTGGTCATGTCTACGTGTCTCCCGAACCCGTAGGGTCTACACACTTAAGGTTCGGTTATGCTAGGGTTGTAGAGATATTAGTATGCGGTAACCTGAAAGTTGTTCGGAGTCCCGGATGAGATCCCGGACATCACGCGGAGTTCCGGAATGGTCCCAAGGTGAAGATTTATATATAGGAAGTCCAGTTTCGGCCATCGTGAAAGTTTCGGGGGTAATCGGTATTGTACCGGGACCATCGGAAGGGTCCTGGGGTCCACCGGGTGGGGCCACCTATCCCGGAGGGCCCCATGGGCTGAAGTGGGAGGAGAACCAGCCCCTGGTGGGCTGGTGCGCCCCCCATGGGCCTCCGCCTGCGCCTAGGGTTGGAAACCCTAGGGGTGGGGGGCGCCCCACTTGGCTTGGGGGGCAAGTCCCCCCCCCTTTGGCCGCCGCCCCCCTTGGAGATCCCATCTCCTAGGGCCGGAGCCCCCCCTAGGGGCCCTATATATAGTGGGGGGAGGGAGGGCAGCCGCACCAAGTCTCTGGCGCCTCCCTCTCCCCACGTAACACCTCTCTCTCTCGTTGGAGCTTAGCAAGGCCCTGCCAAGATCACCGTTGCTTCCACACCCCACGTCGTCGTGCAGCTGAGTCTCCATCAACCTCTCCTTCCCAATGCTGGATCAAGAAGGAGGAGACGTCTTCCCAACCGTACATGTGTTCAACGCGGAGATGCCGTCCGTTCGGCGCTAGGTCATCGGTGATTTGGATCACGGCGAGTACGACTCCATCGACCCCGTTCTCTTGAACGCTTCCGCTCGTGATCTACAAGGGTATGTAGATGCACTCCCCTCTCCCTCGTTGCTAGATGACTCGATAGATTGATCTTGGTGATGCATAGAAAATTTTAAAATTCTGCAATGTTCCCCAACACTCCATCAAGTCTTCGATCGCACCTGGGCAATCCTGTCACATCTGTATGGTGAAGAAGATCTGAAGAAAATGGGTCTCAAAGAAGATTTTGACTGGTCTGCACCTCCACCGAAGAAATTCAAGAAGGTCAAGGTTCCTTCTCTGGTGGCCAGCTCATATTCTTCATCGCGCGACACTGATGAAAATGAAGACTTGGACGACACCGCGGCAGCCCCTACTACGACAAATGACCCCAACAACGCTGGCGCTCCTTCATCAACCTGATATTCTTCAGGGGCGTTAGTCCTCATATTCGATCCTTTTGGTCATTTGACGACAAAGGGGCAGAATTTTGAGTTAGTCTTCAAGCGGGTCTTTCTATATGGGCGTTTTTTTGTTAAGTTACAACTCTCGTTCTTATGAGACTTTATTGGATCGAGTTGTAAACTTAAACCCGATGGTGCTCTGATACTTTTGATATGTTTTGCTACATGCTTATTCCTCATATATGCTAATGCACGCATGCTGGATTACATCAGTAACCATATTTCATCATGCATTTCAAATTCTTCTCTATTATATGTCAAATGTGTGTATGAATTACAAGATATAGGGGGAGATCTCCATGATTCAACTCTTCAAGTGTGCATTGCTTCAAAAGCAAATTCCTTACTATGCACATCTTCAGGGGGAGTTCTTCTATATCTTGCAATCAAATTTCTCAATATCAGTAGTTACACTTCATATGTTTATCCCTGTTGAAAACTTAACCTATATTGTCATCAATCACCAAAAAGGGGGAGATTGTAAGTGCATCTAGTGCCCCTTAGTGATTTTGGTGTATTGAAGACTTATAGGTTAAGGGACTAATGCGTTTGTGAGTGTACACAGGTCTATAAGTCTATGAGGAGCTTGATATTTACAGAGAAAGTCGACCCCTAAAAATGAAGTTCTTCCACTGAAGACTTTGTATCTCTGAAGACTTTCTAAAGACTTTGAAAGTGAAGAAATTGGTGTGACCGTGAATACTTGGTATTCATTCGAGGAACATGAAGCGTGAAGACTTTTGTTTTCTTAGTTTCATTTTCTCTTTCTTGAGTCATAGGAAACACCGTACTGTTAAAGGGGGTCAAGGAAATACTAAGGAAAAATTTCCATGTGATACTCAACTCAAAATCCTACACCTGCCAATCCCTTTGAGTGAAGCCATTGGAAATCTCATACAGTTCAGTCAATTTCTTCAGTGACAGAGACGAAGTTCTTCTGGTCTCTTAGGAATTTGTCCTGACTGAGGAGTTAGGAATTCGCTAGTGCGGATTTCCTACACAGTGAGGAACATGATAGCCCTGAGGATTTTGCTACTCAAAATTCCGACCGTTGCTGTGCTATGCGCCAGCTATCCCAAAATATCTATCCACCTAATGGTCATATCATTGAAGGGCATTTATGCCTTATCATGTCGGGCTGCTCCCTAGGCTATAAATAGCCGCCCCCTACAACAACTAGCTGGTTGGCTGCTCCGAGAGAAACTGACACTTGTCATTTGAGAGCAACCCATCCTCCGAGGACTTTGAGCGAAAATCATCAAGTGAGGAAAAACCCAAAACCCAAACACCTACAAACCCCAAGTGGTTGAGCATCACTGAAGAGATTGATCCTGCGTGGATCCGACGCTTGTTACCTTTGAAGAATGTGCTTCTTCTAGACGGTTAGGCGTCATGGTCTAGAGAATCCAAGAGGAATTGTGGATCACCGAGTGACCAAGTTTGTGAAGGTTTGGAAGTCGCCTGAAGACTTACACGAGTGATTGGACGAGGTCTGTGTGACCTTAGTTCAAGCAGAATACGGTGAGGACTGGGTGTCCTGAGCTGTGTGTTCAGGACTGGGTGTCCGGGACTGTGTGTCCTCGAGTTTAAATACTCAGCCGCTCCAACCAGATGTACAACTGAGACAGCAGTTGGAACTGGTCTACCAAATCATTGTCTTAACCAAGCTTACTGGCTCTATTTCCTCAACTCTTCCATTTCCTCATAATTGTGTTGTTTGCTTGTTCATATCTGTCTTTGAAGACTTTGACTGAAGACTTTCTCAATTTCCTTAGTTCAATTTCTTTAGTCTGTTTGTCTTCATCCTGTGTTATCCTGTGCTTATGCTTCTGTACTTTGTGCCTGCCTTCATTTCATCATGATGACTATGCTTGTATTCTGTTATGTTTACTTTTGAGTACTCATTCCGCTGCTAGTAGTTCTTCGCTAAGGAATTTGCTCACCGGCAAATTCCTCAGTGAAGAATTTCATAAAAATCGCCTATTCACCCCCCCTCTAGTCGATATAACGCACTTTCAGTCCATAGGGCAACAACAATAATCAACATCTATGCAGTGGCCTCTGGGGTTTATGCAATACTTGTAGCATGCCTTGTTAGTGCATTTAGAAAACTTCATTGGATAGCAACTTGCAGGTAGTCGTATTGCATCTGCATGTATCTGCACAAAATCAACACACGTCGTTAGTCCTATAACATGGTATGAAATTTGTCATATTTTGTTTAGCATAACTAAATATAGACAATTTTTATGGAGAGTTGGACATTATATATTTTAAATAAAGTTCCATTTTGGGGATTCAGAAAGGAAGCTATATAGCATAACCTCATTGTTCGCATGGCATGGGGACACAATAGTAGCCAGGACCATGAGAGCCACCAAAAACAAGGGACCAAGATTCATCTTGAAGGTTGCCATTTGGTGAGGCCAACAAGTGATTTCTATGCTCAATTGTTGTTCTAATATGCGGTGTGTTATAGAGTTCACTTTGACGGTGTTAATATAGGTGCCTATTGATGCATATTTCGAGTATTTATCTGAAAATAAATCTAGTATCTTCTATATCAAAATCTTGGCTGCCAAATCAATAATTAAATGGGGTAATATAATATAGTGTGTATTAATAGCACCTCAAACATGTAGAATGCATTAGTTGTGTACAATTATACAACATCGTTTGTAGAAAATCTTTCTGTATCAATTAAACACATTAGTTTTGATAGGTAAATCAAATGCCCTATGTATCAATAATATCTTTAGTGAGATAAATGGATTAATATTGTACATAATTCAATATTTTGTGTATCAATGTGGGGTAAAATAAAATAAGTACAATATCTTCAATATGAATATTTTAGCTATCACATCAACCGTTTAACGAGACAACATACTTTTTTCAATAATACTTGGCACATGACGGATGCATTATTTATAAATAATTAATACTATACTTCCCCAACTCTTGGTCGTTCCCCTCCTAGGCCTCACCATCATCCACCACCCTGGTGCTATCGGCGTGGCATGGTGAATGTGGTCAACGAATGACATCCATTAGAAGAGGATTGTACGTGGAGAGGCTGACAACTGGGTCCACGATTGTATGCAAGTAAGTGCCTCCTTTTTACGCGCAAAATAATGATTCCTCCACCTGACAACGGGGATCCACCGGAAGGGCCTCTGTATTTCATGAAAAAAATGTTCCTCCAACTGAAAGCTCGGACCCACCAGCTATATCTTCGCACGCAAGGAAGTGCCTCCTTATTACACAAAAGACTCACATGCTAGCTATTACCCACCATATTTGGAGGATGACATGTGGGGCCACTAAGTTGACGGGGATGCAAGATTTGTCAACTTAGTCAATAAAAATGATTCTAGCTGCAGCGACCGTACGATGTCCATCCAACACCTGCCGTGCTTCTTCAACCTCTGGTGTTCTTGCTCCAGCCGCCCAAACCATCGTCGATCGTGTCGCATGCTCCTATGTGCCATGGTCGTCTGTGCTGCTGCGCAGGCTTTACCACCCCACCCTACTACCATCGCTGGCCTGGCCATCCCTGTACTCACCCAGACCTCTTTTTATTCTCCGGCGACGGCAGCCTCACACTGCAGCCGAAGCAGTAAACCCTTGTACTCCCCTCCATGTGGGAAACAACTACTGAGTCTTCCACGCCTCCTGGTCATTCCCTTTCTAGGCCTCGTCGTCATCCCCGCCTTGGCGCTCTCGACGCGGCGTGGTCAACGTGGTTAAGGAACCACTTCCATCGGCAAAGGATTGTACGTGGAGAGGCTGACAGCTGGGTCCATGACCGCAGCAAGGAAGTGCCTCCTTATTATGCGCAAAATAATGACTCCTCCACCTGACAGCGGGGACGCACCAGAAGGGCCATTGTATTTTGCAAAAAAAAAACTTTTCCTCCCTGAGAACTGGGACCCACCAGCGTAAGTTAGCCACCATATATGCTAGTGCTTGCTGGCGCTCCACCTCACTACCTTTTCCGACCTATAAGCTTAAATAGTTCTGATCGCGAGACTGTGAGATTGTTGAGTCCACGTGACTCACAGATACTTCCAAATAGATGCAGGTGCCGATGATGCCAGTGCAGTGGACGCTACCGAACTCAAGTGGGAGTTCGACGAGGATTCGGGCCATTACTATGTGTCTTTTCCGGATGATCAGTAGAGGAGCCTAGTTGGGGCGATCGGGGATCTAGCATTTAGGGTTGTCTTCTTTATTTTGGTTCCATAGACGGACCATGATTGTATTCTGGATGATGTATGATATTTATGTATTGTGTGAAGTGGCGATTGTAAGCCAACTCTTTATCCCTTTCTTATTCAGTACATGGGATGTGTAAAGATTACCCCTCTTGCGACACACCTACCATGCAGTTATGACTCTAAGTCGTGCTCCCAGACGTGGGAGATATAGCCGCATCGTGGGTGTTACATTCACCAAATTGAAGAGTCGTCTTACCAGAGTCAATGATATATGTGTTGCTTGATTCAAGTTTAGTTTTCTTTTTTGTTGAATAAAAGACCTATACCAATGCTTGGTACATCTTTGTGCATCAATTCTAAATCAAGTTTAGAAATTAATTTGAGCAACATGTGCATCAAGATATGGACCTATACCACTTCACGAAAGATCTTTTAATACATCAATTCTATAAACTATACTAGTGCATCAAGATCAGAATTTATGCTAGTACATCAAGTTCAGAAATTAATTTGCTGCATCAAGTTCAGAATTCTATAAACATTTTTCAGATGCTAATCGAGTGCATCAGTTTCAGATGCTAATCTGGTGAAACAATCAACTTCACAGTTTCAAAAATGCATGTAACTTGAGAAACATGTACTCGTGCATCCACTTCACAAACTATAGTATTTCATCTAGTTGGGAAACAAGTTTAATGAAGGTTTTAGCGAGTAGTACTAGTACAACAAATGAATGAACAATAGTATGGATTACCATTTTGTGGCAGTTGTGATGTGGTACACCAAGCAGAGTTCCTCGACGCACAACTGCATGACTGCTGCCATCTGTGGAGGTTCATCTTTGCTAGTGTATTCCACATCAACTCCGATGAAGCTCGGATACAAGCCGCCACCCTTCATCCTGAGCCTGCTCATCATCTTGTCGCCCTTGTCTGGTTCGCTGGTGCAGACGAGCTCCAGCATCTCCTTGCCATGGAGTTCAACCCCTGTGAGGGTTCTCGTGTACTCGCGCTTCTCTCCGGGGACGTGAACGTCGACGAGGTTGTTGCTCTTGTCTGACGTCTCGCCATGATGATGCTTGGCGGATGGTTCCTCTGCCATTGCCTTGCTTCAGCGACTGTGGGCTTGGGAGAGAGAAGTTTGTGGTTTGTGTGCAGTGGAGATGGAAGTGGCAATGGTGGTTCTGTGAATGAGGCAGAGATGGAAGACAATGGGGTATTTTGCAGTGCATCGACAGGGATGTGTGGGAGGCGGTTCGTCAGGGGTGTGGGTGTAGTGGTCGTGGGGGTCCTCGTCTGCAATCCCTTGTGGCAACCGCCTAATGGGTGGCGCGGGTGGTGGCCTGGAAGAACTAATCGTTCATGCCAAGGGTTAATTTGGTGTCACATTGAGTAGTCTTGTCAAGCTGTACTTATGATCTACTTATGCCACTTGCACGTCTCCTGGGTGGTGATGATGGCATTTTGCACTGTTTAGGTGGCGTATGCTTTGTGATGTTTTTTTGTGTGGATGTTAAGTATTGTTTTTCCACTGAAGTCTTATACACTAGTTTATCTCAAAACATTTTTCAGTGCCCTGGGAGTTGTTGCTCAAAACTGGTACTTATTTTATTTTCATCTGTACCAACATAAGTTAGGCCTTTATAGTTTTTGTATTCTCATTTTAGTGCACTTATGGTTTAGTGCTGTGTGAATTGAATTGTAATTTCATACAACGTACGGTTTTGAAATTTGGTGTCACAGTGGTGTGAGTGGCCTGACTGATCCTGCTTTTTTAGTACTAATGTCATATGTATGTTTGAACTGAGTTTGGGGGGGGGTCATTGAGATTATTTACGACCAAATCGTTCGTTGAGGTGTAGGCATATTTTATATAAATAAGAAATTTAGCATAATTGACAAAGAAAATCTATTTGAACTTGTTGCATTTTAGTAGTTGAACTTGTCAGATTTTATATAAGTAAGAAATTTAGCATAATTGAGAAAGAAAATCTTTTTGAACTTGTTGCATTTTAGTAGTTGAACTTGTCAGATTTTATATACATAAGAAATTTAGCATAATTGACAAACATTGTCTATTTGAACTTGTTGCATTTTAGTAGTTGAACTTGTCAGATTTTATATAAATAAGAAATTTAGCATAATTGACAAACATTGTCTATTTCAACTTGTTGCATTTTAGTAGTTGAACTTGTCAGATTTTATATAAATTTGAAATTTAGCATAATTGATAAACATTGTCTATTTGAACTTGTTGCATTTTAGTAGTTGAACTTGTCATATTTTATAAAAATAAGAAATTTAGCATAAAATTGAGAAAGAAAATCTATTTGAACTTGGTGCATTTTAGTAGTTGAACTTGTCAGATTTTATATAAATAAGAAATTTAGCATAATTGAGAAAGAAAATCTATTTGAACTTGTTGCATTTTAGTAGTTGAACTTGAAAGTAATATTTAATTCGGTTTTTTAAATTATGAACATTTAACAGATAGGCTATTAAGTTCTCTTCTTTTTAGAGGTTCATTGTGTTTGTATCATATTTTTCCTTTTTTATCATCCATGGTGCAGAGCTAAAATGATTTTTATTTATATTTTTCGTATTTAAAGTTATTGCCTGCGAACTAGTATTTGAATTTCTATATTTTCAGTTTCGAACATTTTTCTTGTAGTTTATACTTCTTTGCCCCGCCCTCTGGTTTGTTTAACTAGGCTTATTGGTGGGGTGTTTGTAGACGATGGAGGCTATTGGGCCATTTTACGGCCCAAATGGCCCGCGTGGGTATGCAGTGTGGCGTGCGCGTGCGCTCTGGGTTTAGTCCCACCTCGCTAATCGAGGGGGCTCTATACCTGTTTATAAGCGCAGTCGAGGCTCAATGGTTGAACTCCTTTGAATACTTACCTGAGCGCTAATACACGGCGCTCGCTCTCTATCACGACCCGTGGGCCCTGGCCGGCTGGCCCTGCGTTGTGTGGATTACTAGGGATTCGCCCACGGGATCGAGTTCAAGTATCTAGCAGCGTCAGGGCCTGCACCTGTCCTTGGGCGGTTAATTTTTTCTTGTTTGTTTGTTTGAATCTAGTACTTGACTCCACCAGTAACTTGGACTGATTCTTTTTGTTCTAGTTCTTGTGAGTTATTCGTAAGTGTAATCTTTTTCATTTGAGTTTTTTGCCTTCTTTTTTGTGTTTATTTTTG